AGAGAGAGAGAGAGAGAGAGAGAGAGAGAGTGTGTGTGTGTGTGTGTGTGTGAGTGAGAGAGAGAGAGTGGTGTGTGTGTGTGTGTGTGTGTGTGTGTGTGTGTGTGTGTGTGTGTGTGTGTGTGTGTGTGTGTGTGTGTGTGTCTCACCAGTCGTTTCTGCGGTTTGATAAGCGGCCGGTTGATCCCGTTCATCTTGTGGTACAGCCCGCAGGCGTTGCATAGGTAGTGTCCGGTCCCGTCCCGGCGCCACAGCGGGGTGGACACCGAGCCGCAGTTCACACACTCCCGGCCCTCTGTGCACATGTCGTCGATCAGGTCTGCCCGGGGAGAGACACACGGTGTTAGGATGTAGCCGGTGTTAAGAGCACATTAACATCAGAACTGCTTTTATTCTTTATTTGGCGTAAATATTATTATTTTATTCTTTAAATCACAACCTTCTGTCCAGCCAGCGCAGTCTGAATCATCAACCTTCTATTGGTATTCGATATATCTGCTTATAAACATAGTTGTTATAGGTTACTTTGTATATATCGTCTCATACATGCAAACTGATGTTTTCTTTGTATTCAGTATAAATACAACGAGAAACATGCCTTATCGTGTGTAATTTCTTTGTTTATGTGGAAGAAAATACATATATATATATATTCTTCTAATAAAACATGCTGAGTGAGGAGGAGACATACATTCATAACCTGGAAACAAATTCCTGTTTACGAGAACTAACGTACGCACGGAGGAGGGGGGGGTTGGGTTAGGTTAGGTTAAGCGCCAGTGCATGATGAATAGCCATGAGTAGGAATTGACCCCTCTCCCCTCCATCCCCTCCGTGATGAAGAGACATGAAACCCCCAGAATGGATGAATGGAGAGACAGACGGATGGAGGGGGGGGGTGTTCTGTGTTATCAGCTAGGAGGATCCCCCCCACTCCATCAGAGCTCTGACACACGACGGACTCCTGGCATTAACACACAGCCAAATTCATGTTGAATACATACATTAACATTTTTAATTGATTGTTTTTAGAGCTTCTCTTTGTGAGGAACGTGTATTGTGTTAATGAGGAGTGTCACAAGGAGGATTGTTTGGGAGACTTTGATTCGATCTGCTCTAATAAATATCCAGCCGCCTCATAATGTAGGCCTGATACACAAACCAACTGAACTGACCCAGGCAGGGGGGCAACTTCTAAAAAATCGAAAGCAAATACTGTCCATTGTATAAAAATGAACATTTGCTACACTTTTAAATTTAGCAGCTTTAATTAACGATGAAATATGAACGAACATATTCTAAACTTTGAGTGATTTACAGCAATCAAATGAAAAAGCCTACAGGTGGGGCCATACAAACATTAACTTTTCTAAATTTGATTCTGCACTTTTTAAATAATTCTAATTCAAATTTGAATATATAAACATTTATATTTTAAGAGTTACAAATACAACTAGCGAGTATACAGCTTGGGAACTGTATACAAATAATATGTTCAGTAATTAAAAAAGACTACGTTTGTCTTAGACCTTTGGTTAGTTTAAATGCGCTTCTCATTTAAAATATTGATTTTAAAGTTTGGCTTCAAGAAATAAACTTCTCTTCATGTTCGATGTAGAAATCAGTGTTGGGGTCTTTCTTACCCAGACTGGTCCTCCTCCCGGACAGTCCTCCATGCCGGCCCTGCAGACTGATCATCCCGCTCTCGAAGTGTCCTGGTGTCCAGGAGGACGTCGCCATCTCAGGGCTCATGTACGCGTACGGGCTGGAGTAGGATCCTCCGACCGAGCGCACCAGCGCGCCTCCATACTGCTCCGCCCGGGAGCCGTTCCCGAGCACCAGCGGGCTCTGGTAGCTGGCCTCCCGCCCCTTGCTGCTGCTGACTGGCGGGCTGTGCGAGTACGAGAAGCCGTGCGGGGCAGGGTGAGGGCTGCTGGGCGTAAAGGAGGAGCAGTCCGCGGCGCTCTGGGGCCAGCCGTGGTGCCCGCCGAGGCCGTGGGACTGGTGGGCCGAGTCGCAGGTCTGCAGGTAGGGCAGGGTGGGCATCATGGCCGGGACCCTGCTGGTGGGCACGTAGACCGGGGAGCTGGCAGAGGGGTGCATGTAATTCCCGGTGTCGTGTGCGTAAGGGGACTGGTTGGACAAGGCCAGGCTCTGATACATTTTCACAACTTTGTGGCGTAAACTGTAGTTTTAATTTGTTAGGTTGGGATCAGTCCTGTGGAGGTGAGCCTCTTCCTCCTGCTGCAGGATTATTAATCTGGGTTTTTTTTAACAACTAATTGAAATTCTGGAGAATTCTGTCCTATGGAGAAAAAAAAGATGTATTAAACGTGTGATATGAAGAAATTACTTCAAAAAGTTCAAGGGCATCTGATTTTTAAAATAAGTTATCATTTGTAATCATTCATAGGCCTTCTCTATATACACTTGAGTTCAATATATGGTGGTAATCCGTTTCCACATAAATTTCACAGAGTATAAGCAAGTTATAAAATCGAAAATAGTTCATTTGCGAGGTGAAGTAAGGTTGGCTCGTGAGAATACATGTCTGGAAAAAAGTCAACAATGATCCACCATCAGTCATATTTAATCTCTATCACAGTGATTGACATTAAAGTGGCATTAACGGCCTGATATCTGTCCATGCAGATAGAGACACTATCACTGCCTCATTCAATCACAACCGTAACGGAAATCAAACAACAGATATGGAGCTGTGTTCCATATCTGCCATACATATACTTTCTATCAATAGTACCTCAAATCACACACAGGGCTGATAATAGCGCGTGCTGATGAGGAACAGCATTTCTTTCCAAGGGCTCTCAGTGTATTATCTCACCAGATAAGGACGGTCGTGCGATAAAGCAGTCCGGTCCTCTGTACCACAGCGCATAAAACGTATTCCCTCCACACAGAGACACGTACCAGGCAGCGCGAGGACTCTCTCCAAATATCTCGTTTTACGCGTAAAAGCTGCGCGCACCAAAATAAACCAAAGTGGTCTTTTTGTTCCAGGAGGACTGCGGAGTTTCTCTTCCTGCAGCTGTATCTGGAGATAGTTACTGCCGCTGATAATTGCTGATACGGGTGTGCTCCTATTCGCTCCCCGACTGGAAGATTTGTGCCGGACAAAAACACGTGACGCGCTCGGCTGCTCCGAGGTAGGCCTTTTGGTGGGAAAGAGGGAGGGAGGGCGACAGGGAGTGGGGAGGGGGGAGGAGGTCCCCGGGCTGGGAGGAGAGGGCCCACATTTTAGGGTTGAGGGGTGCTAAAGTAGCGACTTTATTTACACCGGCGACATTTCGTGATTGTTATTGTATTTTAGATAGTAGATACTTTATGAGGTTGGGAAATGATTTTGTCACAGCAGCATTATGGACAGTCAATCTGCAAGAATTACAACATTACTTTAAAAAACAATATATACATATTCTCCGTAAAAATACCTATATTTAGAGGAGTATCTAAACATTATACAGAATAAAATTGAATACTCTCTAATATACTAATCTACTGAACATATAAACATAGTGTACTATATACATTATAAAAGTGTGTATGAAATGAAAAGTACTATATATCCTGTGGTATAGGCTGCAATATGTAAGTACAGTATGTGCAAAGTTTTCATGATTATAGAGAGGGAGTCCCTGAACACTGCAGCCAGAGGAGAGGGGGTTGGGTGGAGGTGTTGCCTCAGGAAGGTTTTCCTAGATCCTGGACTGTTGGAGAAGGAGTTTTATTCTGAAGGAGGACACAACATTGGATACATCCAGGCACAACGTGAAGGATGAACCCCAACAACCTGCAGGAGGCTAATTTTAAATGTATTTACAATACATATTATGCATCAGAATGACTCATAGAGAAAGGCTTTTAAGCCTTTGAAATCATTGGTGATATTTACACTTGATTATATTTACGGGTTTAATGTGTGGTTATTAAACCCATGATGATAATTATGACGAATCATGTGATCATAATGATCCATCTTTAAAATGTATGAAATAATTCAAATATTTCGGACAATATTTGCTACTCTTCACACTTTTTCTGTCCGTTACTTGAAAGTTGAATTTATTCAAGATGTTATCGCTTAATAAAACTGGACATGACCAATGTTAGCCATAAGTCACTAAAATAAAACACCTTCCTGTTCGGAATATAGAAAAACAGATAGTTAAATGTGTGAAAGGGAGAGCTTTTACGAACAGTGCCGATAAGAATTACGAGCAATAACTAACGGAACAATAACGTTATGCTGTGATAAAGGAAATCGCAGAGATATGAGGGGATAAAACGCTGATGCTTAAATAAAGGAGGATTTATTACTAAGGTTATGATAGCTCACATAAATAAATATACATTCAACAATACAGGCTAAATAAATAAAAACGAATAATTGTGTGCTGATGAAACGGCCCTAATAGGCCTAATGGCTATTTGTTCCGCTATAGGCCTATATGTTTGTTCATATTTTGGGACAACTTTCTGGCCAACAAATTATTGTTGTGAGAAATTATATCGGAAAATATAAGTGAACGGCTGACTGAACTACTGTAGGAAAAATCCCTAAAAAAATAAACATATTTACGGGAGCGTTTTTGATGTAATGAAATATGAAACTCAAATGTAGGGGCTTGTTAATATTCAACATCTGACAATTGAAGAACGACCGATGAGTGATCGGAGGAGGAATAAAGCGACACAGACGAGCATTCAGACCATCAAAGTGTGAAAGAGACATCATGAAAACAGTCAATAGTAAATATCATATTTACATCATTTAGGGAAGCCTACAAGTTGTAATTATTTCTCGCGATGCCTGACTTTCCTTGGTCTTTTATTATCAGATTATTACCTTTCATTCAGCTTTTATCCAAAGAGGTTTACAATCAGTGCCTTTCAACCGACCAATAACACTAATGTCTGCTGAATGGAGGCCATGAATGAACCCTTCTGTCTGTCTTAATTATTCTTCATAATGCAGGGTGTGTTACCTGCTTGAAGAGAAACGAAGAACAAGCATTTGTTATTCCGTTCATTTCCCCCCCCTTTGATATATTTTAACACTAAAACAGTAGAGTGTAAACATAGCGCAGTAAAACATCTTTAAACCACTGGATTGTTCAACACTGTCACATTAAAATGCAAATGAATAAATAAATAAATGATTTAAATAAAAGAGGAACGTAGGTTATTTCCGCACCAATGCAGTTCAACGTGTCTCAATTAATGAATTGAATATACTTTTTTAACATTTAAAACAGTACAACATGTAGATCTAAAAAATAAACACTGGAACATTTACAACAGACTTTCACATTAAGGACATCAATGAACATTTCATGTGCAAAGAAGGAAGAAGAACATATCATCTATTACATAAATCAATACTCCAAAACCTCACCATTAAACAGCTGTATTCATCTTCATCAAACATTCTCCAAAAGGAAGAATGCAGCATGCATATTTCAACTTTCCATGGAAAGGCATCAGAGGAACAGTTGAAATATTGTGAATACGATTAACCCCTTCCTTGTCAACAGTTAAAAAATCAAGCTCTATACCACTCATGGCTTTTTGACAGGAAGTCATCTGACATACCCCTTTCCCCTTTCTACAATTAAGTTGAATTGAAGAAATACATATAATGTGTTCATTCGTCAAATGTAGAGGTGCTGTAAACTGATTTTGTCACCTTTGGACGTCACATAGGTGCAGCTCCCTTCACCAGAGTGTTCAATCATTATTTTCACCATGTTGTGTTGCCGTCAGCCACGTGCCATTTGTTCTAATTATTGCAAGAAGCTATGATATACATTAATTATAGTGTTGTATATGTTTGCAGCACTGAATAAGCTTCACTGTTGTGAGAGATGCTGTGGAGTTGTCCTGCCTGAAGCACAACTTAACTCACTCTTGTTTAGGTGACACGGCATCATATGCTGCAGACAAAATGTCCAAAGGTCGCTTTGAAAATATTGAACATAATATGGGATTTAATGTTTTATATTCATAGAAACACAAATGCATTTGTTTAGAAAGCAATACATGTATAACAAAACGATAAATGAAAAATGTAAAAATTATAAAAATGAAAACAAAGAAACATAAAGCACAACAAATGCAGCCTATAGACACTAGAAATACATTTACAAAATCAAAGCATTATTACAATAATTCAAAAAAACGTACAGATGGGATAATCAGAGTTTAATATTTTAGAGCAGACGCAGAGAGTCTGATGAGAACAATCTGCTGCAGTTCTGACCAAAAAAGGGAAAGATAGGGACATGTTTTTTCTTTTTAAAAGGCCAACAACGCTAGGCTGAGCAGTTCACAACGAGGTTGACAGAGAACACACACGCAGCCAGAGCCTGGGGGTATACTACGAAGCAGGATTTTCGCTTAGCCGGCTAACTTCAGGGACAACTCGGGGTTTCCGGTCCTACGAAGCTGGCTCTCTTTTTAGCAGGCTAGATCTCCATGGTAACAATATGCTGTGCGGCTAACCTGCCCCGGAGCAGGTTAGGTTGCAGGCTAAGAGCTCAACTCAGTGAAAGCACTGCCTGCTGACCAATCAGAGCTCAGTGTGCAGAGTTTAAAGCGAAAGGAAATACAGAAAAGCTGCCGTTGCAGGTAAGACGGCCGGCAAAAATCACCGACTGTGTGAACGTGAACATTAATAGAATATCACCTCCCATCTTCAGAGCAATCTGACTATTATAACATTAGCGTTAAGAAAGCTTACTTAAATATCTGCCACAACATAAGGAACCGGATCAGAGTAACATTAAGTACAGTCCGCGGCATATCACATCATGTATCATATTTCCTGATCTGAGTCAGCTGAGCCGTATCTGGCCGTGCAACACTTACAGTGTCACACACTGTAGGCCTATGCAGAAGTATTATTTTAAGCAACACATTAAGTTGAAAAAACTCTCGAGACAAATGTAATTAAAGTCAGATCCACTCGTGTCTTAGACGGGGCAGTGATATCATAAACCTGTTAATGTACGCATTCAAATACTTTTTCTTTTACCAGCTGTATTCACCTTGCAGGTGACCTATGTGGCTTTTATCCTGGATAAAGTGTTTAAGTCATGGATGTTTAAAGTTTAACTTCTTCACATGTCTAATATTATAGTTGACTTTTCATTCAGGAAGTATGACGCTACGCTGTCAGTACGCTTCTCCATGTTTGTGATTGGTCGAATGCTCCAAAT